TATCTTCAGTTGATTTGTTTGATTCTCTATCACATTTTCCATACAGTCCTGAATAGGTTGTTAAGAGAAGGTATGTGTGTTCCCATACTTGTGAAGACAGAGTGTGTTGTTGGCTGATTTACAAAGATAAGAACACTTTGATTTGACAGCCTGGTTTGTGCCCTGGGGTATGTTCACCAAAGATGTTCCTTCCTGACAAGCATAGCACTCAGCCACCTTCCTCTCCATCCACACGGTGGAATGTTAGGCATTCTGCTCTCAGTAAACATCACAGTCCTCCATGGCAAAGCCTCCACCTGACCCCGGTGACACCAGAATCCTGGCTGTTAATATCCATAATTACTAGCAAATTGAGCCCGAGGAGGATAAATAGATCCCCTGTAAACAAAATGAATACTGCTTCACTGTCTTCATTGATAGAGGGTATTTTTCCATTAAAAATTCTAGGCACTTGGAATTCAGTGGTTTCTTGACAATGTATTCAAGGTCACAGTGCACATGATACATTTTCATACCTTCCACAATAGCAAGTCCAGAACAGGGGTTTAAATCATTCCCTGGGGAATGGCCTGGATAGGCTTGTTCCAGGGCCCCTCAAAGTATTGGTTTCTGAAATTGCCTGTGTAAATCACAGGTTTTTTTTTAACAGCTTTATTGTTAGACTAGAGCAGCCCAGCCTGATGTAACTATTCTTCTCAATGGCAATGAAATAACTGACAATGATTAGAATTTTAGAATGTGATTCTCGGAAGAAACATCACCGAGAGATTCACCGGCTACCACTGACAATAAGGACTCATTTCCATCAATAGTGTTATTGGTGGGCATATGCACGTGTGTGTACCTTTGACAAAAGGTCAATCTTTGTGTTAAAAATAGAAAAAACCCCATAATTCAGAGTTCCTGTTCACTCAGCAAGTGCTTTAGGAGGTGGCTGGTAGGTTGAATATCAGCAGACCTTTTCAATCACCAATTTTGCAAGATGTTGCTCTTTGACATCTGAAGACACCATACATTTTTAAAACATGGGTACCAACTGAATCTGAATATGGAGACCCCAAAGCCTCTTAAAGGGATATTCTGGAAAACAAGTGATAACAGCCTTAAACTTGGGATGGTCAACTTCAGTGCGGTTTTTCACTCAACAAATATCCTAATAGTGTATTAACCACACTGAAGAGACATTGAGGCTGTAGCTAAATGATGGCTGATTTAAAAACACAAGTGTTAATGAAAGTACGAACAGCCAATTTGATTGTAGGTAGATGGATATAGAGACAGAGATAGAGATAGAGATAGAGGTATATAGAGAGATATATATAGATATAGATATAGATAGAGATATATATGTTATATATGGGTATAGATGATATGGGTATAGATATAGATGATACAGATATAGATATAGATAGATATAGATGATATAGGTATAGATAGATAAACAATAACAGTGAGAGAGAGGTAACAGTATAGATGCCATTTGGGAAGAAGAGACAGAGGAGAGGATCCAGAAGTAACAGGATCTTCACTTCTTTTACTGCTTCCCAACACTCACATTCTCTACCGCCTGGTCAACGTCCTCATTTATTTATTGAGTCATGACATGCGCACTGATGTCTCCAATGGGCAGGACATATGGAGGCACCGAGAATAAGAATATAGACTCTGTCTCCAAAGATCGCCAAATACAAAGACAAGCAGAAAAGTCGTCATAAGACATAGTGTGAGTGATAAATCATTCATTCAGTTCTTTGAATCAGCAAATCTTTCTTGAGCAGACATTATGTACCAGGCATCTCACTAGGTCCTGGAGGTTTAATGAAACAAATAAGGCCAGAGTCCCGCAGCCTAATGGATCAGATTCTTGTTCATTAGTCCTGGCTGTCTAATCACTTAGCCGGGGGATCAAAGTAGAACGAATCATGAACTTCATAGGTATATGAGCCGAGGCCGAATGTCACTTAGGGTTACACCGTCCTCTTTCTATTTGAAAAAGCAAAATACACAGATTAGAGCTTCTCCCAGTCTGTACTCTCCACCCTGGAAGTTGAGCCCACGTGTGATTTGAGTCCCCAGAAGGTAGGGACCATGCTGCCAGCATCAAGGGCCTCATTGTTAGCTGAAAGAGGGGACTTCGGTTCCATGACAGGGGAAGGAGAAAAAAAAGAGGGCATCCGCTAAGACTAACAAATTATGGAAGAAAATGAGCCGGCACATTTCTAAGTCAGGATGAAGAAGGGCTGATGGATTGGATTTCTCCCATCCCACCCCACCCCTGCTAAATGGGGCCATATGAGAAACGTTTTTTATGAAGACACCAGGACATCTGCCAAAAGAAACATCTCCCCAGAGAGAGAGGCTGTGACCGGGGGTCCTGTTTCATAGGTCACTGCGGTGCCGGGAGAGGGTTACTGTGTGATGGAACCTGCTTCACTGAAGCCCCAAATCTGCCGCCTCTGAGAGAGAGGTGACACCGCCCCAAGTTGTTCGTCCAGCTCTTTATGGTCACATCAGGGTCAGTGTTGAGTTGGATCAGCAAGATTCCCTTCACTTGGGAACGAGAGGGAAGCTTGCCCGTCTGCAGCCAGGACCCCTTTGGGGCTGCGCTATTAGAAATAGTCTTTTTGAAGCGCCTAAGAAAGGCTTCTGTTTTCAAAAACTGACTGAAAATTTTCTCCTTTTGTGTTAATCACCAGAAGAATGGGTTTTTGTGTTTGTCCGGCTGTCTTCTTCCAGCCACTTCCCTTTAATTCGGTTTTGTCTAAAACTTAGCAAGGGGTGATTTGCTGAGATGGAGTCACCGTGACAGCCAAGTTCAGAAGGCTTCCTTTTCTGGTCTCCAAGTGCCTTCTTTACACACTGCTTTCTAATTACATTCAAAGAGACTCACCCCTCAGAATCTTGGTCACAGCCTATTTTTCTTTTCTTCCTCTTCAAATATCTCTCTCTCTTTCTAGGAAATTGCCTTTTTTGGCTGATGATTTTTCAGTTTATTCATCCAAAGGAGGAGAGGGTTGGAGGGAATGAGCTTTTGTTTTTTCCTTGTTTTCTGGGACCTCTGTGCTGCATTTTTGTCGCATGGCTCTCTCCCCTGACTTTCTTCTTACTCAGATATTGCCCTGGAATTCTGTTCACTGAAATGCTGTCTTCAGTGACAGGCTTCCTAGCTCATGAGGTTTTAATGGTTTCTCTTTAGGACACCCTTTGAGAAAAGTTTGGGGAAGCAGGAAAGGATAGCCTACAAAGTGATTAATAACGTGCATATCATCGCACCAAAGAATTGTATGGAAACAGTGGAAGGGCAGAAAAGGATAAAGGAATAGCACGTTTCCTCTTGCCCCTCTGCCTCCCAGGCTAGGATCTGTACCATAACCTGCCAGATCTCTGTCATGTTCTTCAGGTCGCACTCCCCTCGGCCTTCCAGCCAGCCAGATCAAGCCCATCCTTTATATTGAGTGATTGTCTCTCCTCCCACACCACACTTGTCTTTTCCTTCTCTGAATCCTGGTGCACGTGCACTTCAGTCCTTACCCCTTCTCTCATTGAAATCCATCTCCTTCCTGAAAGGCAGAGTTTGCAAAATATCCGAATAGTCTATAGGGACCTGGGATTTTTCTTTCTAAAGAGAACTCTCATACTCTGATGAGTTTCACCCTTCATTTCCCAGGTAACTCTACCAATCTCTTAGGTCTTAGCAAGACATGGTAAGGAAAATGATCTAAAAATGGGCATCTATTCTCAAAGCTCTGGCCTCAGATTAGTGTAGGTCCAGCAGGTGGCGGCTGAAGCAGAAGCAGCCGCATCTGGCCCAACCCTTACTCTGATACTCAGCCCTCCTGTAAGCCCCGTCGGCATGGTCAGCACCTTACCTCAATGTCACCTAGCTCAGGAATTCTGTCTCTTATACTCCCAGAGTAACACCTGTGAATTATTACCTTTCTCAGGATCAGCCCTTGGTGCTCCCACCGAGACTTGTCAAAACTGGGATTTGATCTGGGGAATGTTATAACAAACATAACTCTAACTTACCCTTTCATGAGCGGGGTCTCCTGAGAGAATTCACTACCTTAGGACTGGGATTTTTGAAAACAAATTTTTAAGAGGTGACATCTATCCCCCTTCGATTAGCAATGCCTTTGTTTGGGATGGAGGCTACTTTCCTCACTAGCCCAGGCAAGCAACCTATTTTATAGGTATTGTGAGATTTACCACCAAAATCCACCCACCAACCCCCGCAAAATACTCAAAGGGACAAGAACATGTATTACCTACAGGAATGTAATCAAGTGGGAATTTAGAGCTAAGGGAAATGCTTCTGTGGTTATCAGAATATGCTCTTCATTTATGTAAGCCTGAATGTGTCACTTATTCTTGTGAGTAGCATTTACAGTCAAGACCAAAGATGAACAGTACAGGTGTCTTTAAAAAAAAGCTCCTGTACTTCTTGAGTTCATGTTCAATGGGAAGTCTCAATGCTTTCTCCGTGTCATTGTGTTCCAGAAAGATACATCTCCGTCATGGCTCTGAAGGATTATCTAATATTTTAAGCTTATTTTTTATGTGGAAATGTAAGGGGGACTGCTTTTCCCGTCTGTACTCAGATTCACAGGCTTTTAGTCAGAACAGAAATATTCAGTAGCTTCTCCTATTAAATGTGGACCCCAAAAAACAAGATTTATTTCTTCTGTCATCCAGTTAACTGCTTGGCACATGATAATCGGTGTGCAAAAAGCATGTTCTACACAAACACATACAGTACCCGCAGTGATTCCAACATGCTTGGTTTGACATGCGCAGAGAGACCGATGACTGTTTCGAACTAAGTAACATACAGAAATCGTGTTAGTTTCCTTTCCTAGCAGCTTATTATGTCAACGAGTAAAGACCAAACCTGTAGGAATCAAATAGGACTGTCTATCAGGTAGACTGAATGCTAATCTTCTTCCCAAGCTGTCTGTAAACACAAGCCCTCTGTGTCTTTTGGTTTCCCTTCTGCTCAGATGCCCAGCCCACGGAAGGAGAGAGGGAAATATGGAACCAGATCAGCGCCGTCCTCCAGGATTCTGAGAGCATCCTCGCAGACCTGCAAGCTTACAAGGGCGCGGGGCCAGAGATCCGAGATGTATGCCAATGATAACACTGAGCTGACAGCACCCTCGGAGGAGAAGGGAAACCCACACACGCACACACACCCAGCAAGATTAAGTAATAGCCCTAGTATTTCCTAGTGTACTAGGAAGAACAAGGAGGGTAATGTGTTTTTTAAAAAAGTATGAATGGCCCCTTTTATTCTAGTACATTAATCTGAACACACGGTGCGGTAGACCGTGTAAAATATTAGCCATTCTTTTCTCCGTCATACATTTGTTATCACAGGACTGACGTTTAAACAACGATAGATCGGTATATTACTTCATTTAAGGGAAACGTCCATACAAAGCCTATGGACAACAGTTGAAGCATAAGTCATGAGGTCTGGGTTTGCACAGACTTCCAGCATTTTGTAAGAGTTTTGGCAGGTTCCACAGTATCAGAAACAACCGCCATGAGCTGCCTTGCTTTAAGTAGCCTGTAGGTCTATCATCTTGCAATGACTTGAGATTAAAAAAAATAAATAAATACCTGAAAAACAACAACCAAAACAAAATTGCCAACATGGCTTTTAAGGCTGCATAATGCCTTAAAGGCAAGAAACTTGATACTCCTTTTATGTGAAATAATTAGCTTTGTGGCAGCGTCAACACATACACAAATGTGCACACATGCTCACTTAACACACACACTTTACGGCCACTGCTGCCATCCTTCTGGAAAAAACACCACTAACGCTCTAGTCCTTAAGCTGCTGCAACCCAGACAAAACAGCATTTCTAAGAAAGTGACAGCTTCTCAAAGGTGGTTATTCTACGTCGTGGTCCCCATTAATTTAGGTAATTTAGGTAACATCACAGAATGGAAGGAACGTAATATGTATCGTAGAGAAAGAAAGACATCTTCAGGACCTGCACTTCCTAATAAGCACTGGCTTGACTTTAGTAGAATCAAAACGTGATGGAGGAAGGCTGAATTGCTTCCAATCAGATTTGCATGTTTTTTTGTTTTTTTTGTTTTTTTTGTTTTTTTTTGTTTTGCATTTAAAGTAAGAGAAAGTAAGATGATATAGGATCTGATTGTAGGGTCATTTGCATTATGGTCAAGTGCTAAAATCTCATTCTAACTGAGCATCTTGGAGGACAGTCCCGTGAACCGATGTCAATTTAAGAGCACACTAGCAAAATAGATCAGGACTTGTGTTTTTCTTCAACTACCATACTTTCTCAGTCTTGAGGCATTTTGATGTGGAGGCTATTGCTTCTTTTTTAAACAGACAATTCTGTCGCGTTTTTGTAGGCGATTCAAAATCCCAACGACATCCAGCTTCAAGAAAAAGCTTGGAATGCAGTGTGTCCTCTGGTTGTGAGGCTAAAGAGATTTTATGAATTTTCCATAAGGCTAGGTGAGTATGTACGTGTAGTTTTTATCCTGTGTGTGACGGAGTTATGTTATGTTACAGAGTTTGAGAAAGAAGCAGGAAGAGCTAGCTCAGTGACCTGAGAGATGTCCCACATCCATCTGCAATGTCTTAGGAGAGGCCACTCATGGACAACAATACGTGTGGTTTTCATTCCCTTAAATTCATCTCAGAGTTCCTTCCTCTGAGGTTCTCGGCACATTGGGGGTGTCTCTGCTGCTGGGTGTCCCTCTAGTCTTGTTCTCAGCTAAGTCTCACTCGTAACAGTTTTGTTGTGGTCTGACCACATTTCTAAATGACAGGGGAGTTGAAACAAACAGATCACCGGCTAATCCAAAAAAGAACTTGATTGGTTAGAGTCATGTGATAAATTTAATATAGTAAAACACAGGAAAAACAAACAACATTCCGCTCTTTAGCCTTAAAAGCAACCTGTACAGGTTCAGAATGGCTTTGCAGAAGCAAGAGTAAAGTCAAGTCTGGTTGACAGGAAGCTTGATGTGTCCACCTATGTGATATAACCACTCCCCCCAGGATACAGCTCTCTGAGGTTCTATCAGTTAATGTAATATATCTAGAAAGAAGAAAGGGGTAGTCATGTTCTACTTTACTTTTTCTGTAAGTGAATGCCATATTTTAAGAGTTAAACAGAGAAATAAAAAAACTGGGGGAGAATAATAGCCATGGTGTCGAGAGAACTTGAAGCTAAGACCCAAAGGAAGTGGTTGAATGAGCTAAAACAGTTTTGTAAGAACAGAGAGCCTCTGAAGACTCTCAGATAGCTTCTTTGGTTTCCTTTTTCTGTTTCTTCAAAGTGTGTATCTAGACCCCATGAACTGAAATCTTAATGAGCCAGATTTTTAACAGAAGGAAAAAGATACCACCAAGGTAGAACTGGCTGACTCAGAAGGCCAGGCATTCCCGTAAACGGAAACGGCACGAGATGTCCTTGTAAAGATGCTGTAAAAGACCATTAAAAACCGTAGATCAGGTGCCCGCAAACTTTACTGTAAAGAGCGGATGGTAAATCTTTTAGGCTCCTGGGCCCGCCTATCTTTGTTGCACCTGCTCAACTCTGCCATTGTAGGACATTAGTAGCCATGGTCCACACATTAAGGAACAGAAACAAAGTGTGACTGTGTTTTAATAAAACTTTATTTGCAAAAGTTGACAGTGGGCCAGATTTGGCCTGTGTGCCATAGTTTGGTTCCAACCCTTGCTGTCAAGGATTGGTTAAACGACTTGGCATTGTTAGATATACGTTGAAGGAAAAACTGGAGGGAATGTTTGGAAATGGACAAGAGGATTTAATGAGACTGTTTTGGGGACAGTAATGGAGGTCGGTATCACAATGGGTTTGCAGGAAGGCTCCCCTGGATCAGGTTGGAGTATAGGGGCAGAGACGAGCTGGAAAGGGACCCAAAGTCTTTCCCTGCAGTGCAGGTTATCTAGCCATGTTTTCTGGGCCACCTCATCTCCTCCCCTGTCATGAAAGGCTCTCTCCTCCACATGATCCAAAAACACGTAGCTGTGGTTTCTGAACAGTGGCAGGAGTTAGCACTGTGCACACTGGAGAGTTCAGCCGAGCTTTGAGAGACTCGGATGAATCTGCGTGGCCCTGGGGGTCGCAGGGGAGGCAGTCTGCTCAGGCATGATGGGCTGCCTCTTCTTATCCACACACATCACCCTGCACACAGTTATGGCAAAAGGCATGGAGAAGAAAGGTTATCTCTGAGAATGTCTGCAGGACCTAAGAACTATGCTTTTTGAAGAATCTCCGTGGGCCACCTCAAATGTGTATTACTCACTTTGACTTTCAGAAAAAGCTCTTCAGAGTTTATTAGAATCTCTGACCTGTCCGCCCTACACACCGACCCAACACCTGGAGAGGGAGCAGGCCCTGGCGAAGGAGTTTGCGGAAATTCTTCATTTTACCCTTCGATTTGATGAGCTCAAGGTTAGACCGCACACGCTCAGACAATTTAACAAACTTGTCCTGAGTACCTACCGTGTACAGGCACTCTGCTAATGCCGTGGGGTGGGGAATCAGTGAGTAAGAGGTGTCTCCTTCCCTACAGAGACATGTAAGCTGAGAATTTGCCTTCTTTACAGTAAAAGTGATGTAGGTCGGTGGTTTGTAAACAGAAATTCAAAATCTGCCAAATTCAATAAGAGGAATCCTTTTCAAGTGGAGAAGGACTCCATCTTGATGGAGAACAAGGATTCTTTCCCTGAAATCTAACTTGTAGCCATACGATAAAATAATAAGGCTCTGAGGATTTTAAAAAATTGTCTTAAATGTATAGTTTTTTGTGAGAGACAGTGTGTGAGCAGGGGAGGGACAGAGAGGGAGACACAGAATCCGAAGCAGGCTCCAGGCTCCGAGCTGTCAGCACAGAGCCTGATGCGGGGCTCAAACCCACGAGCTGGGAGATCGTGACCTGAGCTGAAGTTGGTCGCCCAACTGACTGAGCCACCCAGGCACCCCTCTGAGTATTTATTTTTAACCAGAAGTTGCTTTGACTGTTACAACCAAGAGACGTCCTATTATGTTTATGTAGTCTGGTGTCTGGGCTCCTAATGCGCATCCCCCATCTGATTTGGAGAGATGACCTTCTTTCCTCTCTTCTGAATTTCAGATGAGGAACCCGGCCATTCAGAATGACTTCAGCTACTACAGAAGGACGATAAGTCGCAACCGCATCAACAACATGCATGTGAGCCCCTGGGTCCCCCGGTCTGTGTGTGCCCATTCCCCATGTCTTCCTCTGATTTCTGCTTCAGGCAGGGCACAGGGAGAAGCCAGCCCTCTTCTGTGATTCCCTTTCCAGCAGACATCGTGTCGGGATTTTTGACCATCTGTTTATCAATCGCATATTCTCTTCTTAACTTTCATCAGCTAGACATTGAGAATGAAGTCAATAATGAGATGGCCAATCGAATGTCCCTCTTCTACGCAGAAGCCACGCCAATGCTGAAAACCCTCAGCAACGCCACCATGCACTTTGTCTCCGAAGTGAGTGAACCTACGCACCGAGGTCCTTTTTTCTGAATTACACGTAAAAGCTGCTAGCAGGACTAACCTCCTTCTGTGTCTCCCTCTTAGAACAAAACCCTGCCAATAGAGAACACCACAGACTGCCTCAGTACGATGACAAGTGTTTGTAAAGTCATGCTGGAAACACCGTAAGTTCCATCGGTGGTGGATTCATGGTCAGGGTTCACCTAGAGAGGGCCTGTTAATATGTTGACGATTATGATGGTGACGACGATGGTGACATTTGGGTCAACACGTTAACGTGGACATGTATATGATCTGAATCCATTTCACAAAGAACGCTGGATGCTAAGTGTAAGTCGCCCCAATTTGTAGTTGAAGAAGCTGAGGTCCAAATTGGTTCACTGACTTCCCAAAGGCTGCATAGCTTGTTAGATGGCAGAACTGTGACTCAAATCAAAGATGCTGTGGAAGATGTGGAAGGGCCACGTGGAGGGTTGGCCTAAATGACTGGATATTATTATGAGTATGTGGGAGAAAAGATTTGACAGAAGATTTAGAACAAAGGGTAGAGGTGGTAGGACTGAGGCAAGGGTGATAATGGAGATTTCTCTCCATCTGTCCTTCTCATTCTGTCCCTTCCCTTCCCTCTCTGTCTCTGTCTGTCTGTCTCTCTTAGTTTCTTTGTGCTTAAACTAGTTGCTAGATTTTCGAAATGGCTGAGGTCGTTAATGGTGAGGCAGCACAGTAATGAGGAGATACACACCCACAAGTCAGGGCTCCAGCTCTCTCTTTAGCTACTTCTGTGTGCCGGCAGACAAGCGAAATGGCCTGTGTGGGCCTCGGTTTCCTCCTCTGATGAAGTTCCCATAATGTCATCTGTGCTGTAGAGGGCTTGGGAGGGCCAAAGACATCAAAAGCACCTTATAAAATGTGATCCTCTGTTCAGATGTAAGATGGTGTTAATTTCAAATATTTCACTTATACCAAAGTTAAGACTTGTTCCAAGACAGAAATAGTAATCATCTTCATTGTGGGCCTAATTCATAATGAGAGAGATGTTAAGAAAGCCTCTAAAATTATCTTGAATTATCTGAATCATCAGGGACCCTGTCAAGGTAAGTGAACAAAATTCACACTCCACAAGTACTCCCGGCCCAGTGAATGGTACATAATTTCTTTTACGCATCTTTGCCAATCCAATTCAATCTGCAGCCTGTGTCTTAACAAAGGAAGTTACTCTGACTGGAGACATGATCGCTGCTCTGTAGCAATGAGCCTGATTCTTTCTCTCCATAATGAAGCCATTATTCTCTATAATCTTGGACAGCCAGAGGGACCTGCTATAAAATATTCAAGATTGATGGGTGGGGGGGAGTGATGTACGTGATGAGCTGGCCCGCTGAAGGGCAGAAGAGAAGAGAATTTACTGCCCTCTAATTTACCTTATTTTCACACTGAATTGCTGATTGGATAGATTCAAGGAGAATGATCATCATGGGTTTCTTTAAGAGCGTATTAACCTGGTTGTTGCAGGTATGGGATTGCTCTCAAGAGATGATTGGAGGAGTCTAAAGTAGCCAGAAATGAACGTGCTCTGGCAAGAAGAAACACAGCTGCCATTTCTTCTCTCTTCCAGGGAGTACAGGAGTAGGTTTACAAGCGAAGAAACGCTGATGTTCTGCATGAGGGTGATGGTGGGAGTAATCATCCTCTATGACCACGTCCATCCCGTGGGAGCTTTCTGCAAGACATCCAAGATCGATGTAAGAATAGTTATGAACTCTGCTTTCTAAATAAGAGCTCGTGAGTGTTGCACAACAGACCTTGCTTTTCTCTCTCTCTCTCTCCGTTCCCCGTTGAGAGGGATCTCTCCCAAGGGGCAAGCCCCCTCGTGGCAGCCGTCCTCATAGCAAGAAGCCCAATCTTCTTCATGTGCTTACAGCCAGACATCCAATCAAAAAGCACAGCAGAAGCACAGAGACACTAATCCCCTCAGCCGGTAGAGGAGCTGAGCAGATGAATAGTCACTTAGCTGCAAACTTCCCCTTCAACGTATCCGATGTGCCATATGAATATATTTTTATATGTTATAGGCATCTTAAAGTTCGCGGCATTGGGAGATACTGGATTGCAAGACATGGCAAGATATGGTCACATTTCAAACAGTATTCCAACTTCCTGTCCTGCCGCCCCCAACTGGTGGCTTCACCCAAATGCCATGCCTTTTCTTGTCATCGGGATATACTTGAGCCCTTTGCCCTGCCCAGAGTGCCGTCCCTTCTTTCGATGTGGGGATTCTTTTAAGACACTCCACGAATGTCACCTCATCCAGGAGCACATCTCTTGTGCCCTGCATGCTCAGAACCTCCCTTCTCCTCTGGCCCCAGAGCACTTAGCATTCTGGATTTTCTGTCTGCAGCATCAACCCAATAGTGTATCTCATGTGTTAATGTAAAGCCTTTCAGGGGCACCTGGGAGGTCAGTCGGTTGAGCATCCAACTCTTGATTTCAGCTCAGGTCACGATCACATGTTCGTGAGTTTGAGCTCCACATCGAGCTCTGTGCTGACAGCACAGAGTCTGCTTGGGATTCTCTCTCCCTCTCTCTCTCTATCTCTCTTTCTCTCTCTCTTTACTTCCCTCCCCCCACCATATAAATAAACCAAAAAAATACATATAAAGCCTTTTAAGGGCAGAATGGGACCTCTTGGTATTAACTTATTCTGATAATGCTAAGTTTGGGCAGCACACTCTATTTCTACTCAACTGCACAGAGCAGCATCTCTGATGCTTTAGTGCTGTGCCAACAGAAAGTCTTCATGCCCAGAGGGACCACGAGTCAGAAGGATGTAAGGAAATTTATCAGTTAGAAATGCACCTTGGGTTACTCATTTTGCAGTTCTCGCCTCCTAGCACAGCTAGTCATGGGTCTTCATAGAGTATTATTTTTAGGGCAGTGATTTGTGTTTGCCAAGAAAAAAAGTGTTTAGTATAAAAAATTAGGAAAATCTAGGAAATCAAAATACAGAATGTTAAATGTATCTGTAGTAACCTTACCACAGACAGATGACCATTGTCGATATGGCAACATATCTTCGTCCCTTCTTTTTATATGGATGTTTGTGTAGATGCATGTGTGTACCTAACAAATTAGCACCCTGCTATAAATGCTCTTTTAAAACATTTATTTGCATAACAGTATAGCATGGATTTTTTTTTCATGCCAATAAATATTTTAACTGTATTCTTTGTGAGGCTTTAACATTTTTTATACTATGGACTGAGTATAAATAACTCTTAATAACTCCATGAATATCATTTGAATGTGGATGGAGTTTATTACGTGGTAACTCACGGGACATTCTCATTTACCAGTGCCATTTGGTAACTTGTCACAGAGTCAAAAAATAAAAATATACTAGGTACAATTATGTCTTGTAACCCTAACCTTTAAATAGCTTGTCCTTGCTTGTCATTTACTGAGTCTGGTGAGGTCGTAAATATGATATAATGTTAAATCTAACCACACATAGTCTTCATGAAATGTATTTGTTCTTCGATCTCACTAAGAAAGCTTTGTTCCTACTGAAGTCTGCATGTTTCTCCGAGAAAGTTTCAGATTTACCTAACGCAACATGTGTTCAACATGGGCCATTTTCTTTGATGACATAAAGGAGCTCCTTCAGATGCCAGTCTGCTGCTAAGCCAGCAGCTACATGCACTGGGTTTATAAATCCTTAGGATATCATCAACTGTGAAAAGACAAGCATTTATTTGTGAAACCCTGAGATGCATATTGTTATATGCACTCACGAAGAAAATGCCCTGGAAACCCAGACGAGGGAGAAGCTGATTCCGCTTAGAGGAGAGACAGAAGGTGATATTTGAGGTGGATCTTGGGAAAGGGGTAGAATTTTCCCAAGTAGAAAGAGGGAAGGAAGAGTACTTCTGGAGGAATGAATCATCAGAGAAAAGTCACCGAGGCCCAGAGGGGTTGGGTCATTGAGAGAACAGATGCTATCCTTGGGTTCCAGGAAGCCAGGCTGAAGTGAGGTGGTGTTTTCTGCTGATTTCCTTAGACTTCTGTAATAATCTGATAAGGAATCACTCCTTAACCCCAGTCTCCAGCCCAAAGCTCACCAAGAATTCCAGACCCGACCTCCTCTGGACACGTGAAGCATGGCCGGCACCAAATCAAAGACAATCCTTTCCCTTACAAACCTGCTTTTCTCCTGGGTTCCTGCCTCAGGTGTTTCATCATCTTCTGACCCGACATCTAAGCTGGAAACCAGGAATTGTCCCTTGGAGCCTGGAATTATTTTCCTTCCTCTTCTTTGCCCCCATATCTTATCAGTCACCGGGTCCCATGGACTGGACGGACCTCGGATCCATACTCCTGCCTCCCCATGATTCTCCATGTCACTGCTGCTCTCACGTTCGACAGCCTCAGGGGCCCTCACTGACCTTAGACTTACATCCTTGCATCCTTCTGATCCCTTCCTATATTGATGACATTGCTAGATTGTTTAACACCTGCCAGGGGTGTTTTCTACAGGCAAAGGCCTGCCAACTCCTTAACATGCTATTAAACTCTCACTGGATCTGGGCCCGACTACATCCCTGGTTGGGTCGTATTCACACCCAAGGCTTTATAATCAGGCTGAGACAGAACTAGAAATTCCCAAAGAGCAGCTACTGCTCTTCTCCCCTTTTCAAGTCATCATTGCTCTTCAGGCATGTTTTACAAGAACACTTTTCACACTGCTGATGAGCTATTTCTCTCCCTTCTTCCACTAGACCATGAAGTCCACTGGGAGAGGGACCAAATCTGTGCATCCCTGAGCTTGATTCCATCCTTGCAAGTGACACATACCTGGCATGTTTGTAGCCTACCCCCACCCTGCACCCGTGACAGACATCTCTGATTGCCCATGGCATTTCTTTCCTGATGAGCCTATATGTGACTCCCAAATGATTCTCAACCCTGTGCTTCTGGCTACGTCCATCAAGCTATCAGGGTCCATTAGGCTGTAAGGTAAAGCTTCCTACATACCAGAAGCATACCCACAGAAAATATTTATAAGAAACCATTATAAAAGAGCTCCTTAGTCTCCCCAAATTTAATACAGAGTGTGAACATCTGAGTTGAAGATGAGTGATTGTATTTTTTGCAGGGAGATACTTCCTTTGTCAAAAAAAATTTTAGGCTATGCATAATGGAATGTGATCTCTATATACGTATCTTTCTTATACTTCCCAAATTATGAATAAATTATATTCCAAGGGCACACAAAAAGACCAAAAACTTGTGTAGGTCCACGCAGGTACTAAATAACGCAAGAATGGAAGAACCCCAAGGAGCCTGCCTCCAAGCACGCACATTCTTAACCTGTGGCCTTCACCAGTCCTCCCCTGATCTAGTGAGGGAGACAGATTGATCTGGGTGCTTCAGTCTCCAAGGCTCCCTGATAAATGCCAGCCTACTATTAGGAACACAAAGAGGTGGTGGTTACTTCTACCTGGTGAAGGTCGTGAGGTGAGATGAGGCCTCCTGGTGTTGGTCTTTAGCTGTGTCCTTTCAAAAAAAGAGAAAAAGAAAGCAAAGAAAAAAAATTAAGTGTTTGCCAGTCCATCAGCTAAAGGAGGAAAAGCACCCTGGAAAGTGGGATGGCAGAAAAATCATCAGGTTTGTCCTTCAGGCAGTCAGTCTGCACCGAGCAACCACTGAGAGGAATGCCCTGCATGTGGCTCTGGAGTGCGAGCCAGGATCGCGGCCTCGATGCCAAGATCACGGCCTCGATGCCAGGATCACGGCCTCAATGCCAAGATCACAGCCTCAATGCCAGGGTCACAGCCTCAATGCCACACACGTGAAACATTCAATGGCAGTAGAGTGTGAGAAGTGATACACAACTTCTAGAAGTGCCCAGAGGCGACCTCTCGCTAACGTGAGGGATTAGGAAGGTCTGCTGGTCGTTTCTGTGTGTGATTTCTCCAGGCAGAAGTAATGTGATCTGATCATGCACACATGGTTGTTTGAACAGATACTATCATGGACGCAATTGCTGTAGTATTAACAAAATGCGGTGCTTTCTCCTCCTAGATGAAAGGCTGCATAAAGGTTTTGAAGGAACAGGCCCCGGACAGTGTGGAGGGGCTGCTGAATGCCCTCAGGTGAGCCTCAACCCTGCACCCCTTCCGAGAGACTGCGAATCTAGATGCTGTTAGGGACCCGGCACTGGAGCACCAGGCAGAACCTCGTGCATGTCTTCACACGTTTAATCTTTCCAACAACCAGCTGAAGTCAGCATCGTTTTTATCATAGCCTTTCTACAGAGGGAAGAAACTGAGATGTAGGGAAATCAGATAATTTGCCAAAAGTCACCCGGCCGAGCACCAAGCTAGAACCTAACCCTGGGTCTGTGTGACCCCACGGGTCATGGGCCTAACTGTGGGCCGCCGCGCTGCTTTATGGTAAGTGGGGACTCACCGGAAGAAGTTTCCCGAGTCTCACTCTCCCCTTCACCTGGCTGCACATGAGAACTGTGGTGGACTTTTGCAAACACTGAGGCAGAGTTTCCAACCCAGACCGAATGAATTCGAGTCTTCGGGGTGGGGACTCGGGCATCCACTCTGTGTTTGTTCTAAAAGCTCCCTAGGAGTCTTGCATACACAGCTGTGAATGAAAACCCTGCTCTACCCTATCTTAATGCCCAGTTTTTGGCAGCGGTGGCCCCTTTCAGCTTCTCCCTGCCAACCACTAATGCCCAAGCAGTCTCTCTCCCAAGGATACGTGTGCTTAATACACTCTAGAGAAGGGATGCTTATTTTTTAGCTATGACACATCTACAGGAATCTGTGGAATCACACTACTGTGTAAATCATTCCTGTGCCGGATTGCAATCTGGAAGGTTTATGGTCCTTGCTGCCTTATTCATCTTTGATTTTCCCGAGTTCCACTCAGTGTTGTGCATGCAGTAAATGTTCAATAAGTATAAGTGGAATGGATCAATAATCTTCTACCTACATACAACACTTACATCTTATTCTCCGCTCCCGAGCACGTTCATCATCACAACTCAGAGGGAAGGTGATCTATTATCCCCATTTAATAAATGAAGAAACAGCCACACGTGAAATGAATGAAACTGAGGTTGATGCTATTTTGTGGAGTTGCTAGGTCATCATTCTTCAGAGCAGATGCAACATTAACACGGGAGCCTTCCAGATTCTGTGCGTGAACCAAGCGTTTCTCCACTGGTGCCCACTTCACAGCAGGAGGGCTTCCCATACACAGTGAGACTCTCACGTCCGATTTTTAAAAAAAATTTTTTGATGTTTATATTTATTTTTGAGACACAGAGAGACAGAGCATGGGTGGGGGAGGGGCGGAGAGAGAGGGAGACACAGAATGAGAAGCAGGCTCCAGGCTCTGAGCCGTCAGCACAGAGCCCGACGTGGAGCTCAAACCCACGAACCGCGAGATCATGACCCGAGCCGAAGTCAGACACTCGACCGTCTGAGCCACCCAGGCGCCTCTGATGTTTTCTTATTTTTTTTTTTTTTAGCTTTCCAGCTTCATTGAATCAAGCAAGGTTTTGTGAAAAGCAGGGCAGTCGCCTCTGAGTGTTGGCGTTTGTGGCTTCTGTAGATAGTGCAGTGAAGGAGCACAGGCTTTTGGGGCAGACTCATTTGGGTCCAAATCAGAAACCACGCATGGTTCACAAATCACATGTTGTCAGATCTGGGGTCTGAAATGGATCATTTAAACCTCTCTGAATCTCAGTTTTCTCGTCTGTAAAGTGGAGGCAGTAACCTCTCCTGCAAAGTTAGTGAGTGAAATGAAAACTGACATGAAATGTCTAGGACGTGGTCAAGGTTCGATTACAATTTAATTCCCTTTTCTTCCCTTTTCATAAACCATTCCTATACCAGCTTAATGTGAGGGTGCAGATGTGCTGCCTGGTTTTGCTTGTTGACCTGTGTTTGTGCCCTCTTGTGGTGGCAGTGAGCATAGGAGTCCCCAGGAAAGTAGAAAACCATAGACGTTGAAGTTTTGGGTAATGTTGCTAGCCGATCCATATGCTGAAATTTGTAACTCAGCAGGGTTAGCCTAGATGGTTGAGATCCTGCACTCATTCACGTGACGTCTACCTCCCCGGAAAATGGAATAGCTTATATCTCCCCCGTGTAATTCTTTGATTAGACAAAAGTCTCCTTGTTGAATAAACCACAATACAAAGTTCCTTTGGAAAGAAAAATCAAATATTAAGTCTGTCTGAGAATACTCTGGGCATTGAAATGTGGTTAGTTGGCTAAGGCACAAGCCCCGGGTTGATTTATAAATATCAGTTGTGTCTTTCAAGGTCAAGATGGGCTGAGAGTCTTCCCTGGCACTCTGGCAGGTGCTTTTTACACACTGACCCCCAGTGTTTTCTCTCCATCCAGGTTCACTACAAAGCACTTGAATGATGAATCGACTTCCAAACAGATTCGAGCAATGCTTCAGTAGAGCTCTGCTCAAAGAAGAGGATCTATGTACTGACCTCAGAAGATGTATATGTTTACATAATTTAATACAGATTGATGTTAATACTTGTGTATTTACATAACCATTTCCTCCTTGTCACTGAAATACACGGACCTTAATTTGTATCCTGACTGACTCGACCCAGCAGAGCATAAATTGACTTGAGAGCCTTACCTTTGATGTCTAAAACAAAACCCCCTTCTCCAAAGTCAAATTTGGAGATTTCAATCTTTACTCCCGGAGTCCTTTAACTACACCTGTAACAATCTGAAATTCCTAATAGTTTGTGGTAGTGTTTTAAATCTAGATGTGTAATCTCTCTGGGAAGTATACTTGTAGAAACATGAAGTATTTGATTTCCTGTGTCAGCTTGGCTACAAGAAACACAACTGTTATCCTGACAGAGGGAGAGAGGAATCCAAGAAAAGAAAAATGCATGTGAAGACACAGATTCAAGTGTTTCGAATTCAGCACGCCCCCTCTCTCTCCTCAGACTGCAGACCACATGTGCAGCTTTTTTGTTTGCACGTATTTATTCTGGATTTATATTCCTCTAACGTTCCCTTTTGATTCTTCAAGAGGAAAATCACCTGTGCTTGAATCAGTTTGTGAGAGAGAAGTGAGAATAGACAGATGTGCTGTCATAGCTGAGCTGTGAAAGAGGTTGTCTGGGAAGTGGGGGACGGGTTGGGAGCAAGGACACACAGGCAACAGGACAGTCATCTCTCTGCTTCAACCCTTTGGCTGTGAAACTGTAGTATTTTGATGACATTCCAGTTGTCTGTGGGGTGCTGGGTACACAGTCCCTCCTAAAATGAGCCCTGTCCTCTGGGGACCATCCATACGGCAACAGAGGCCTAGGGTACTTCATTGATTACCAGGAAACTGGGGAATTCAGAGAGGGGAATCCCTGCATTTTCCAGTTCCCTAATATTTAAAAGGCAGCTCCTCCCTGACCACACTGCTGGCTGGTTGGAATGTTTAAACCTTTGGTCTGAGTACCTGGGTTGAGTCCTAGCCTTACTGATCCATGGTGTGAGCTTTGAAAATACACTTAAGCTCTGTGTCTCACTTTCCTCATCTATGAAATGGGCAATTAAAACAATCTCCAAGAGCCCTACAAGGCAATGAGCCAATAAAATGGCTGACTCTTACATGCTTCCTTAGTAAACAGAGGCCAGGAAGCATCACCCCATCTTGTCTTGATGATTGAATATATTTGAATATATGGCAAGGCCTAGAGTCATCCTTTCTGCAGATCAGAACTTGGAATGGAATCTTAGAAATCTCCCGTCTCAACCTCCGGCACAGAAATGAGACAAGGCTGAAGTCAAAGAGGATCAACTCCATGTAGGACTAGAACCCAGGATACCTCACTCCTGAATCTTCCCCTGTTCACCATGTGGCCTATGCATACATACTATAAGATGAGACTGGACACTTTTAAATCAGCCTTAAGTCTGGTTTATATTATTATTTGCCTATTTCTGATAGAAGGAAAGAGTTGCCCAGTGATTGATAATCCCAGAAATTGGGCCTGGGTACATCAGGGTTTCATTCACCATGTTCCAAGGAATAACTTGTAGACACAATTGATTTCCAGACTTTAGTGTCCAGATGGCATTCTCTTGAGTCTTCCAAAAAAAAAAAAAAAAAAAAAAAGGGAAACATACTTTTTTTAAATTTTATTTTATTTTTAACAATAACAACAAACCCAGTCAAGTGGCAGAAAAGATTCTCTGGTTTATATCTACATGTCAGTCAACAGAGAGAGAAAAGACCTTTTTCCTTGGAGCTTTTCAAGCTGAACAAGTACAGCTGCCTAGATGGGGGGGTTCTCTCATCAGAACAGAAATGCACTTAGATGGCCTTCACGACCTTTTCAAGCCTAGGGATTTTAATACCTTAGAGGAAGCCAGAAAATGGGGTAACAATGGATGAACAAATTCATTGATTATTCAGCTTAAGAAATCTTCTATTTGGCAGCCACGTGTTATCTTTGGGCAACAACTGTCAAGAATTTTAGAGGCGCTCAATGTTTATCATCATGGAGTCCATTTTTTTTCCTTTATCGGGTGAGGAGCTTAAGTCTTGGAGAGAGGAAAGGACTTGCAGAGTAAATAGTTGAGCATATTTATAATTTTTAATTAGACTTTTTATCAAGTGGGACCAAACATATGGGAGGGGCTGCTGGCCTGCCCCAGTTTAGCCAGGCTGCCTTGTTTCAAAGCTAAGATTCACCCGTACATGGATTCTCAAAAGTCCAGGGCCTGAACTATTGCCTATGATTATCAGGAGGACAAGTTAATTGAATGTCTGTGATCACTACGAGGTGATGGATCTCTGGTCCACTCCAGAGCTACTGTGGGAGACAAATTCTTTTAACAGACTGTCCTCCAGGCATTAGGAGTCCTTAAACAATCATGATTTTTTTTGTGTGCTGCATGCACATGTGTTCAAGATCCATGGGGTGGTTTAGGGGAAAGTGCTAGCCACAGTATCCATGTCAATGTTAATTCTATTTCATATTTGCTGTTTCATAGTTTTCAAGTAAACAGTGTTTGCCATTACTCAGATATTTATTTTTGGGCAGGCAACAGGTGAAAATTACATTTCTCAGATGCACTGCTGCTTTGGCATCATAACTATGTTCGCAGAAATTTTTCATCCATCACTAACAACAACTAATAGAAAGCAAGTGGCAGTGAGTGTTTTGAATTGTGGTAGCCCATTAGGGCTGCAGTATTGATTAACAACCAGAAAGAAAGTCTTGGATACTATCTTTTAACTGTTAGTTAATATCATGCTTCATCATTTGCTTCTACTCATCATCATTATATCAAGACATTAATGGTAAACTGAGGTTTTTATACATCATCACATTTAGGTTAAAAAAAAAAATCATGCTTCCTCAAAAGAAAAAAGAAGCCTACCCAATCTTGGAATCCAACTGTGCAGCAGAATTCAGAGAATTCTTATTCAATCTTGTACCCAAACAGCAACAAACTTTTTTAAAAAATATTAACAATAAAGAGTGGAATTTTATCCTAAAGAGACAAAAATTTTGGAACCCAATTTCCCCATTACATCTATCAAGGCTGTTGCATACACAAAGCTGTTTTAAAATTGTCATATGTTGTTTGCTAAACTCATTGTGATTTTTTTTTGCCTGCTTTGCCTCTTTGTACAGAAGTTTTGAGTGTGAAATGAAAATTAAAGTTTGGTACATATATTTAAAAATATACCTCTATTTTTATGATGTTCAAGTTTGAGTGGGTAATAAGCACATGATCATAGATATTTGCTGAACATCTATACTTGCTAAATACCTGCTTTGGGTACCAGCAAATCACACCATCTGCCTTTCGCCTTCACCATATACAACATAAAATACTTACAATGTTCTGCTCTTGGTACCAGCTATATTTATTCATTTTAGCAAAGATCATTCATTATAAAAAAGACATAGAATAAACAGACATGATTGATATCTAGAGATGCATGAGACCTATTTGTTCAAGGATGCTAAGAATTCCTAATAAATACCCATGTATTCTATTTTTTTAGTGCAGTAACACTTTATGGATTCAGCAAAGTCAGCCATTAACTTATTCTATATAAGTACAATTTTCAGGCAACTTAAGCCCTAATGCAATTCTTTTAAAAATTGAATATGGAAATTTTTAGGACATCCCTGCACCTTTGAAGCTTTTCACCTGAGACCTAATTGTGTGTGCTATCAATAGGTCAGAAAAAGACCTTCCATGGTGCCCTATACAAAAGACAAAGGCACAATAATTAGGATGATTTGGAGCTCAAAGGGAAAGGAGTAGAAATGGGAAATTTTCTGTAAATAGAAACATTGACAGATTATAAATGGACAAAAGCCAGAAGGAGAAAGAAGGAAAGGGACCAAAGGTGAGAGAGAGAGAGACCCTAATTAAATGAGTGTTGAGAGTCAAGAGAAATGAAAAAATGAGTGTGTGTGATTGTCCAGAGGAATATAGCTAGTGAGGAATACCCTTCATGATAGTCAAGAAGTTGGTTGTTAATTGGGGTTCTCTTGGAAGAATGGAGATGAAGAGTTTAGCTGGCCACATTCATGAAACCTGGTGACGTGTGAGTACAGTGCAATCTGTATTCACACTAACTTCTTGCTTTGGGGTAGCATTGAGTAGATAGATTTTACAGGCAGACATTGCTGTTGGAAATGTCTATACTATATGCAGTTATCACAATTTAAGTGATTAATGCTAAATAATATTGATCAATTTACTTAAAGTATTCATGTTCATTAAGTACATTGTTCCATCCAATGCCAAAATCTTGGTGTAGTGGTAAAACAAACAAACAAAAACTTGCTGATTACAACCACACACTCCTCTTATAAATAGAGGTCTTGAGTCTTCTATCTCTTTAGCTCAAAGTCAAACTCCAAAGAAGGGAGTTTTTCTGCCCTGGTCACATCAGGTTCCAAGTTCTATCAAAGTACTTTTTGAAATCGTGGTAAGAAGGATTCTATGTAAGACTCAGAATTTTGTTTAGACTCATGTAGGCTGGAAGATCTTGTAAACTCACTTAAGAATGTCTTTTCCCTATGAATTCTTCCAGTTTTCCCTACAAGTTGCATATTCCTAGATTCTTCCTTTTCTCTGCCTGCACTTACAGTTCATTTTTAAATTGTCCTTGTTGGCACCATGACAGCTTTGTTTCAAACCAGGGGCTACATTTTATTAGCCATTCCTACTCTTCCTAAGAGCTAGCGTCTTCAATCTTGTGACTTGAGGACCAGGAGTTTTAAAAGGTTCCTTACACATTGAAGAAGCATGTCACTAGGAAATATCAAAAGTACTTGAAGGAAATTATAGAATTATTTTCTTCCAAATGTCAGTATATATGGTTTTTCTTCCTTTTGTGTAAGAGAAATAATGCCATCACTGTGGGGAGAGATACAAAGAAAGGTGATAGTGTTATACGTGAAT